ATTTTCTTCCTTTTTATCGCTCAAGAAGGACTCAATGGTAGCAGGATTGGTGCTTCACCGCAGGATTCCCATTTACCCTGGTGCTTCACCTCCGCTGTCACCTTGCGGTTGAGACCCTCGGCTGCCATGGGGAGCGAAACTACAAACGAAGAATCATAGAATGGTTTAGGTTGGAAAGGACCTTGAAGATCATCGTGTTCCAACCCCCCTGCCATGGGCAGGGACACCTCCCACCAGCCCAGGTTGCCCAAGGCCACATCCAGCCTGGCCTTGAACACCTCCAGGGATGGGGCCTCAACAACCTCTCTGAGCAACCTGTTCCAGTGCCTCACAACCCTCAAAGTGAAAAGCTTCTTCCTAAGAAGAAGAATCAAGGCATCAAAAACAAAATATCCCAAAAGAAAAAAAAGGAAAGAAAATCTGTAAATGTCTTAGGAGCATGGTGGAGCTTGAACTCATGATTCACATGGGATTTTTTGGGAATAATGACTCTCAGGTTTGATGGTTGGACAGGCTTGAAGGCTGGAACGGCTTTGCTGAGCCTCCACTGCGCTCGGCAGAGTAGATCAGGCGTTAGGCAGTGTGTTGGATCCAGATGTGTGTTCGGGGCTTTATTTATCTGGCTATTATACGTAGTAGATGACACATCTAATAGATGCACTTACTGCATTTTTCATAATACCCATGTTTGTTTTTCAGCTCGTTGTGTCTCCCTGCAGCCCCCGTCCCGCTCCCTTCCTTGGGAAAGATTTGGTTTTTGCTCTACTTATTTTTCCCACCGCATTAGGCAATAACATGTAAGAGCAGAAATCATGTTGCCTTGTGGGCATTAGGCCAACTGTCTGAAGACAAGCTGCCAAACATCATTAAAAAAAGAAAGTGTCTAGCACACTCATTATGTACGTGGTAGGAAACATTTCGGAAACAGGAGAAGGAGGGTAACTTGTACTGCTCGTTTGGGACTTCTTGGTGATTTCTTTCATCTGGCATGAAGAGGTCTTATCTTTTTTTGTCTTTTCCTTTAGATACCTCTTCCTTTTTGCAAGGCAGGCAGTCTCATCCTCTGTGTTGGTGCTCAGAGTTGCGTGGTTAAAAACACACTGTCAGGCTGAGAGCACCGTCTCGAGGGCGAGGCTTGGCTCATCAAAACATCGAATTGCTAAATAAAAATCATGTGAATCTGAGCCTTCAGCTGGGCTGGGGAGGCCCAGGGGGTCATTCTCAGGTTGCTCCAGGCTGGTGTGCGGGGCAGCGCCCTTGCTGGGAGCCCAGCACAGTGTGAGCTGAGCTCAGCGGTGGATATGATCCCCATCCTGCGGTCAGGCACCTCCTGCCGGGGGGAGACAGCAAATTACAGACTCACAGACTGTCAGGGGTTGGATGGGACCTTCGGAGATCATCTAGTCCACCCCCCCTGCCAAAGCAGGGTCAGCCAGAGCAGGTCGCACGGGAACACTTCCAGGCAGGTTTGGAATCTCTCCAGAGAAGGGGACTCCACACATCTCTGGGCAGCCTGTGCCAGTGCTCCATCACCGTCAGAGTTTTCCCTCGTGCTGAGGTGGAATTTCCGATATTCCAGTTTGTGTCCATTGTCCCTTGTCCTGTCACTGGGCACCACTGGAGAGTGTGGCCTCATCCTCCTGCCACCCGCCCTTTAAATATTGATAAGCATTGCTGAGATCCCCTCTCAGCCTTTCCTCAGCAGAGAGATGCTCCAGTCCCCTGAGCCCTTTCGTAGCCTCCACTGGACTCTCTCCAGCAGTTCCCTGTCTTTCTTGAACTGGGGAGCCCAGAACTGGACACAGGACTCCAGTTGTGGCCTCACTGGGGCAGAGCAGAGGGGGAGGGTGACCTCCCTTGACCTGCTTTTTTTAATGCACTCCACGATGCCATTGGCCCTCTTGGCCGCCAGGGCACATTGCTGCCTTATGGTCAACCTGTTGTCCGCCAGGACTCCCAGGTCCCTCTCTGCAGAGCAGATGGGAGGAAGAGGAGGTGGTGGTCACGGCTTTGTGCTCTGCAGGCTGCCCTCCTTCCCACCCCTGCTGCACCAGCGCAGAAGTTTGGAGGGGGAATTACTGCAGAGCTAAAGAGACGTGTACTGTTCTGCACCATCTTGCAAAGGGCTTTGAGGGGCAGAAGAGCAGATCCTGCACTGCAGGACAGGACGAGGCAGCTTTTCCCCACACCACCATCGACTATATGGTGTGGGCTGCTGCAGCTGAATCCTCCTGGGGGCGAGAATACCTTTGGCAAGTGGACCTGGGGGAGATGTAAGGTATCAGAGGTCTTGCTTTGATACACAACATGTTGGCTGAAAATGTAACTCCACCAGCAGTTGGGAGCAGAGCACAGCAGGCACCGTCTCAAGGACGACAGGCAGCACGGGGACCAGCCGGAGGATCCGGAGCACCGATACCTGCAGCCAGCATCACTGAGGGAAGGCAAAATCGCCCTCGAGCACCGTAACTATCTGCGGTTACGAGCTGGAGTTGGACCCTGTTACACTGTTTTAACTTCATTTTCAATGTTTAATTATTCTAACCGTGATAACCCAAACTCCCAGTGTGATTTACTGTCTCCTTTTAAGCGTCTGGGTCATAGATATGCTCAGTTAATTAACGTGCTGAATACTCCTTATTTGTCTGCTAGATAATGGATTGATTCATAATTTAAATAAGCAGCTGTGTATATCTTTCCCTTGAACTATAAAAGGCAGGCCGCTGTCATTCATCTCTTTTCACTCCTGAATTTAAATATGTTTAGGGAAATATTTTGGTGGGATCCTTGAACGCTGCAAACAGAGGAGCCCTTTGTGTGTGGCCCCGCGGTGGCGGCGGGGCCGTCGCGGTGCCATCCCGGTGCCAGCCACGCACTGCCTATGGCTCCCCGGCAGCCGAGCCGGTTCCTGGGGCGCACTGGGCGATGGGACGCGATGGGTATGGGGGGTTAGCTGCAACCCGGAGCCTTTGCTTCCGTGCTGAACCATGGGGGAGACGTGGGCTCACATCCCCGGGGAATGGTGCCAGTTATCTGTTGGCCCCCTTTGGCTGGCATCGCTGCCCGGCTGCTGTTGGACTTGCTGGAGGGCTGTGCCAGATGCGCCAGCAACATCGTTTGGAGGCCAAAGCAAGGCTGGCTTGCCAGGCGTGCGAGAAGCCACAGGCTGGGCCAGCATGACCGGCCAAGGCAGCTGGCTCTGGACAAAACCCAGGGGAAATCATGCATTGCCCCAACCTGCAGACTGTTAGGGCCCAAAGGATGCTGGAGGAGGCTGCCCCATGGTGGGATGAAGGCTCAGGGTTGTTCTTATCCCTTCCCTCTGCCCCAGCTCCTCAACTCCATCACCAAAAAGCCCCAAAACAACAAGAAAAAAGGCTGGAGAAGGCTTGGTTTTTTTACTTCTGGTCAGTTCTACTTTCTCTGTTCCCCATCCTCACAGGTTTTTTCCTGGGGCTCTGCAAATTTGCTCTGTCCTCTGCTGCTTTTTAGTGATGATCCAAAGATACTGATGGTTGTTTTCCCCTCCTTCCCTGCCTCCCAGCTTGCACGCTACACCAAGGAGGGCTTCCTGCATCTTGGTGCCCTCGGGACCACGACTCTTCTACCCGATACCCGCTGCCTGGTGGATAACGTGAAAAGCCGCTTCCCTCAGCTCCTCGATTGCGACAAGGTCAAGAGCAGCCTGCATAAGCGCTGGAATTTCATACAGGTCTGTTACGTGTCTGCCATCGGTGCTGCCCCTCTGCTTCCCCAACCGTGGGCTGTGGCACATTGTCTTTGGCATGGGACAGTGGGGGATGAGGGTGAAATGGTCCTGTGTGACAGCAGGTGCCATGTCCTGGGGCAGAGGGAAAAGGTTAAGAGCCATCAGGGGTAGGAACAGTATTTTAGGATGATTTCCAGTAGAAGTTTCCCTTTTTGGTACTCTCAGGGGTGTGTAACCTGCCCTGTGGATGACTTTCAGATTACTTTGTTTCTTGCAGCTAAGCTATGGTGAAATACATGAAAACAAGGTACTTTTGTCCCAGAGCAGAGAGTAAATAATATACCCTCTACAGAAGCGTCACACCTTCCTAACTGAGGGGTGCAGCCGTGCTGGTTAAAGGTTACAGATGTTCCTTGGCTGCTGATGTGTTAGGGGTCTGTGTTGTTGGTGGTAAAGGTTGGCCATTCGAATGGATTATTTTAGGAATTATTTTTTTTTGTTTGCATTGCGTTACCGCCCAGCTAAGTGCTGCGCACTCTCCAGTAACGCACAGGGACACAGCTGCACGCCGGGGCAGCGCACGCTCCTGGCTTGCTTCACACGCAACCCCACGTTTTGGGGTTTTTTTTTAATATTTTCCCCATATCCTTTAATTTTAGAATGGCGCCATCCTGAACAAGGGAACAGGACGATGCTTGGAAGTGGAGAACAGGGGAATGGCCGGAATAGATCTGATTCTTCGCAGCTGCACAGGACAAAGGTGGACAATTAAAAATTTCATCAAGTAAGGGGTGGAAGAGTCAGAGGAGTTTGACTCGAAGCACGGCTGACTTGGACTGATCCACTGGACTCCTATGGAAAGGATGAAATATCAAAACAGAGCTTTATTCATGTTATTAGGAGAGGACATGGGGGAAATGGGCATTTGTGTCTTTTTATTTTTCTGTATATTAGTCTCCCACAGCTGATTCCAACTGTGTGAAATTGGGTCAGAACTGCTATTTTCTTCCGGCAAGCACTCTAAAAGGTACCACTTATTTCTGCTGGAATGACTGTAATAAGCTCATGCAGTCTTGTGAGCGTTTTACTGACAGGGAATTGTTGCTTTCCCAGACGACTCCAAGCTCTCTCAAAGGGACAGGTAGGTTTGGACCACGATCAGAGTCGAGAGACCCTGGACGTAGCTGCCTGGCAAGTGTGAAAACTTATGTGCTTGTGAGAGGAAAAGGTTGCCAAGCCCCAGATGAGCTGAGTTTGAAAGATGTGGTGTTTTGCTAGGTCCTCTCTCTCTTTCCCCTTTCTTGCCCTTGCATCCAGCAGCCCTTTTCTTGAGTCTGGGAGAGGTTAAGCTCCCCCTGGTAGCTCCTGTGGATCTTTCCAACCCTTAAACATGGATGTCATCAAACAAAATCCTATTGAAAAAAACACACTGATCTCCCATTGTCCCCTCTCCATCGCTCACGTGCTGCTGTTGGCCAAGCCAGCCCCGTGCAGCACCTGCCCCTCCCATGGACACCCCAAATGGGTTCCTTTTCCAAAAGACCTCGGGTGTGTCTGCCTGCCTGTTGGGGCAGTTGCCTGCCCTTTGGGCTGTCGGTCGGACTCACGCATGGTGAGTGAGGCTTGCGGGATGCTTCCTGCCCCGTGGGAGCTGGGGGAGCTGCAGGTCCACCTTGCCTTCCCAGCAGGGCTCTTGGCCTGGCACTGTGCTTTGGACACCCACCTTTACCCTTTTTTTACTCTTTTCTTGTAGAAGTGAGGATGGACGTGCTGATGGGTACAACAGGCTGAGAGCAGGTAACGTGAGAGATAGTCCCGCTTGGGCGTCCCCCCCATGAGGGCTGTAGGGTTTGTTTTTAAGGCATCCTTGCTCTGAACAAAGACTTCAGCAATGGTAGTCTCCAGAACTTTGTAGTGGTGTTCTCTTCCTGAGGCTCGAGTACGCCTGTCCTGCCTGGTCAGTGTGTGACTGCGGTCGAGGTCCACCCCAAACAGCACACGTTTCTGCAGTCCTTCATGAGCTATGGTGAAGTAAGGAAGGGAGAGAGAGGGCAAGAGACTAGTAAAGGGCAGTTTGGCTGAAATTCTGGACCTTGAAGTCACTTGAGGCTGTTAATATGGTGGGGTGATGTCACCTGCTTTTTTTGGCTTACAGCTACCAAATCTGTGCATGGGAGACCATTGGTTTGGGGTTCTGATGTCTGGCTACCTGGGAAGGGGAAGCGTGGTCTTGCGAAGTTGCTTTACGTGGATGCCAAACTAACGGGTGGATACAGGCTTTGCTAGGTGGAGAGGAGAAGCCAGCCCATCTCCTGTCCTTCTCATGGAATAAAACTCTTTCTGGTTGCCCTCTGGCTAGGGTGCGCTAAAATATATTAATATATGAGATTTACGTGTAAATATGTTTCCCAAAGACGGGATGTGCACAGAGTTGTTTGCTGCAGAGCACTCATGCCTGTCTTCCATTTGCATCAGGATGAAGCTACCTGGATGTTTAATGAGTTTAATTTTCAGTGCCATGCAGCAGCTTTATAACTGATGTTTTAGTAATTTATTGAACAGAAGCAGATATATTTCATTGTTCCTTCTCCAGCAATGAGCATCACATAGGACTGATTGTTCATTTAGGCTTGACAAGACTTCCTCATCCATTGGGGTTGCCTCTGATTTTTTTCCCTTGCCTTCCTTAATGAAGTAAAACCTCTTAGTTGTCCTGAATTGCAAAGTAGGGAGTCAATGTAGAATTTTGCTCTCTTGTTCGCTGTTGCATCATCTCTTGTGTAATAAATTTTAGCACTTACAAAACCAACATGATCACAATGTCTTTAGATGCATGATGTGTTTCCCCTTGCGTTTGTCGCTGTCTTCTAAGAAAAGCAATTTACTGATGAAGTGGACTCCAGGAAGGTCTGGGGGATTTGAGACTTCACAGCTAATGGTCAAAATGGCGAAATGCCCTTTAATTGAGCAATCAGTTTGCTGTCAGTCATCACTGGAAGCCACATATTGTTTAGCATTGGGAAAAGCCTGCATGTTTCAGGATAAACAACCGAAAAGCCCTTGGATGTTGCCTGTGCTATAATTCACGGTTCCTGGGTCAGCTCTAGCCCTGCCAGTGCTCAGGGCGCCAACAGATGGGCTTTGTCAGATTTAATCGTGGTGGTATAAGGTGCCACCGCCCCCAGCCTTCCATCTGCTTCAGCTGCTGGAGGTTTCTTTCCCCGTCACCGGCAGCAGAGATGAATGTGTGGCTGCACCTCCGCTACCAGAATTGGCAGGACGTGCTTCAGCCACCAGGCAGGAGGGACTTGCTCTATTTAACACACTGGATTGTCAGCCAATGTCACTCTGGGACGGCCACGTGGCTCCGCTCGGGATGCCGCGACCCCTGGCAGAAGTGGGGTGCACGGGCAGCATCTCCGGCTGCCCGCTGGGGTGAGGGACCGGCTCCTGGGAGCTCAACCTCGGGCAACAAGATGACATGGCGATGAGGATTCTGTTGGTGATGGGCTCTTTGATCCTTTAAAATATTAAGGTTCAGAGGTGCCTTTCCTTCACGCTCCATAAGGAAAGCAAATACCTGAATATCCAAAAGCAAGGGAACGCTGGAGATGAACGCTTTGCTCCAGGACCCTCAGGTAGGGCAGAAACCCTGCTGAGGTGGTTGGCCCGTTCTCACTGGTGTACGTAGAGTGCTTTCAAATGACTGAAAAGAAGCAGCATGAGCAAAATCAGGATTAAAAGTGAGAATTTAATCGGCTGTGTCCGTGTAACTGAAGTTCTGTTCTGACATTGGTTTGTGACACGCGGAGATGATTGCTGAGGCGACGACCCGAGGTCCGCACCCTCCTCAACTGTAGAAATCTGTCTTAGAAATCTGGATCTGAATGTTGCATCTTGCGCTTATCTCTAATAATATGTTAATTGCTTTAAAAAGTGATATCGAAGTGGTTCTTATTAAATATATGATTTGAGCCTTGCCTCTTGAGTGATTTTAAAAAGATTCACTGCTGATGAGATACAGAGGCAGTCATTTTTCTCTGTTACTTATTTAATAGAAAAGTGCTGCTGTTTTAATGGAACTTCCATTTTAAAAAGAAATGGAAATGAAGGAGAAATCAAGAGAGATGGCCAATGCAGATTAACCTTCCGTTTCATCCATCCCTGCTGGCTGCCACTCACCAAGATAATGCGGTTACATTCAAGAAGCTGAAAAGAGACGTTCCATGGTAAAAAAGCATCACTGGCGTTCCTGTACCCAGGCGGGGTGTTTCTAAATATAACCTGAAGCTTGGGGCACTCCTTAGACCCACTTGCTTACATCCATATTCTCCTAAAACCCAGGTTGGCCGGTGATGCGGTGTCCCTGTAAGGACAGCAAGGTGTGGGTATGTATGTGCCCATGCAGGAGGGAAGCGTATCTGTGGGTTCCCCATGTCATGAGGGCACCGTGGCAGTTCTCCCGGTAGGAGCAGCAGCTCTCCCAGCCGAGGTGAGGATGCCGCAGGCTGTTAGCAGGAGTCCAGGTAAGTGTAGCCTCCAACTTCGGGCCTATTTGGGCAGAGCGTGGTAAATGGGGTTCCATCGTGGAGTGTCCCATTGGCATTCACTTGAAGGATGACACAGGACTGATGGAGGAAGACCCGGGCTCTTCTTGTGTGCGTTTTACATGCTGGAGAATTTCTAAGGTGAAAGGTCCAGGTTAGAGAACGGTGTGATCCATTGTGCTTTACGGTGGATTGAAGTCAACGGCCAGCTCTTACTCTCTCCGTGCCCATAGGAGGACCTTTGTGCTGCCCAGGGCAGAGCGCCAAACTTTCACAAAGTTCCCTCTGAGCCCTCAAATGACGTTAAATGGCTGCCGTTTCGAAGTCAAAACTTCAAAACGTGGACTCCCAGTAGAAAAGCCTCTCTGCTTGATCACCGAGCAATTTGGGCACTCATCCACTGCTAATAGATACAGATTTAAGCGCTCCACTATGCAGTGTGAAATTGGGCATTTGAAATCTCCACAGCTCACTTTTGCAGATGAGAAGCCATCTTGCATTAGGTTGGGGAGTGGGAAAAGCATGTATGACCGTTAGGAATCTCAGCTGGATTTCCAAGGACTTCGGGGTGAAGTATAAAGGGTCCTTCTCTGTCACTGCTGAATCAAAGTGATCTGTAGATGGTCCTGGTCCTTTTAACATCAGAAAACCTTCATTCCAGCTTCAGGGGCATAAACCCTTCCAGCCCCACCAGCCGAATGCCAGAAAGGTGAGGGGCTGAGCTCTTCTGCATTTTTACTCAAAGGCCAAAATCTTGTAGGTGGGCTGATACTGGGACAAGGTGGTTCCTGGAATCACTGTTCTTACAAATCAGAAAATTCCCCTACTTATTAATGGCTTTAAATCTTCCTGCAGGCAGGAGCCACGCAACACGCTGCAGCCAATGAAGTTGCTCAGCTCATTTCAGGTTTGCAGCTACGTCGGCGCTGGTGGGACTGGGGTCTCAGTGGCGCCTTTTGCTTAGAAGCGAAGTGACAGCATCCTTCCAGCAACGCATTCCAGTGAAATAACAGAGCAGAAATGACAAGCTTGAAATCCCAGCTCAGCGGTCCCCAGTTATCCAAGATGTCTTGTCAGGAGCAAGTGGGTTAAGTGTCACATCCCGGGGGGATTACTGGGGATGTCTCAGCCAGTTTCAGCAGCTGGTGCCATTCATGGCTCCTCACCCCAGGGAGGTCCCACCTATGGGTTGAGGAAGGAATTTATAGCAGAAAGAAAAAAATAAAAAGGGTCAGTTCAATTATAGGACTGCGAGTTTGGGTTACTCCTGTAAGCCCCAGCGGAGAATCTGGCTCAAGTGCTTTGGATCGTGCTTGGAGTAGAGATACCTGGACGCTGGGTGTGCTCAAGGCAATGTCATTTATTGGGGAAATAATAACCCAGGCATTCGCTCCAGGGTCTCCTAAACTCCTAAATATTTATTTTGAAGCATGCAGGAATCGCTACCTGGAACAGCCATCCTGATCCTCTGCGTCGAGTGTTGCTCCTCTGGCAGAAGGCAAAATAACAGGAAGAAAGATTGTATAACCCGGAGAGCTTTGCAGGGGAGGAGTTTCTTATTTTATTCCCATCTGGTGGCTCTGAGACGTGATGGGTAATAGCTCTC